AGGTAGATGTAGACTAACGGGCTTCAGTCATCGTGATAACCACGACCAGTGGTCACACACTTCGGGTGATATGACTCAGAATTGGTAGCAATGATGCTGGCGTATTCACCCTATCTTCCCTCAGATCTTCAGTTTCAATAATGTTTTATACTATTTTATCCCACGGATCGGTGCATTTTACGCCACTCATTCTCCATACTTAATTTTCACAACTATCATTGGTACTAACAATATTTAGTACCGACCGTAGCTGCTACCTTGACGTGGTGGTCGAGCTTGTCTATCGTGATGACCTAATCGAGCCATATTGGCTGGAATATATGTTCCTGAAGGTTCTACCATGCCAAGCAGGTCGGTTGGAGAACGGCAAGACTAAAAGCAGCAACTCAAGGTCTGAGGGCGAAGTTGTACTGCCGAATGTACAGAGGCGTGAAAGCAGTAAGGTGTTTCCCTGGGACAACCAGCATCTGCAGCGGTGTTGCCTTCTCACAAGTAAGGAAGGGGTTAGAAAAAGTCGACCGTAAAAATGTTACATCTCACCTTACATCCCATATTTTCGTCTCCAGCTGTAAGGCTTTTTGAAGAACGGAGCAAACACGTTAAAACTTCCCACAAAAAGGGTAGTGCGTGACCGGCCTAAAGCAGTTGTTCCTTGGGCTCTGCGGTCATGCTCCCAGGTCGTTAAGATCAACACTAATCCAACTTTCTTTATCAGGTTCCTCAAAAATACTCTCCCACGGTGTGGGCAGATGGAAAGTGATATCAGTCCTCATACCTGCAAGAGCACACGGGACTATGTTGGTCACATTCAAATCCTTCCTACACATCCTAACAACTCTCTTATCTCCACGACTAACGCTTCTCACGTCCCTTTAAAACCTCCGACCACCAGGGCAAACGATTCGAGTACGTGGAACGTTACTTCTGATCTCCTGAAACCACCCTCTAAACTACATACAGGAGTTTTTAACGTGCGAACATTGTGCCAAATAGGACAACAGGCTTCCTTAGATAGGACTTTAGAATCTTACACCATCGATGTATGCTGCGTCTCAGAAACGCGTATACGGGATCCGAGTAGCTTCATTCATTTGACCTCACCATGTTAAAATAAAGAACCAACTCGATTCACACTTCGTGTATCTGGAAGCCCTGATGCTGCTCTCCGTGGTTCGCTGACGTAGGTATAGCATTGAGTCCTAGGGCAGAACTAGGTTTCTTGGACTGGATCCCAGTAGACAGTGGCTTGTGCGCTGTCCGACTAAACGGAACAGTAAGGACTAGGAAAGATAGGGAAACTCGTCGCTGCCTCTTCGTCGTCTCTGCCTACTCTCCCACCGACCGAAGCTCAGATGATGTAGAAGATGAGTTTTACAGAAAGTTTTCCAATCTCTCCGAAGAGCTAGGCGCTCTGATGTGACTTTAATGCTCAAGTAGGTAAACTAAGCGAAGTGGAAAGACACCTGGAAGGATCTTATAGTGTCGTGGCTCAAAGAACAGATAATGGCGACCGTCTGATGCAGCTATGCTTCGATAACCACCTGTTTCTTGCAAATACTAACTTTAAGCATAAGGAAAAGCATCTTTTGGCATGGCGACCTCCGAATTCGTCCCAAAGTTGGACCTAAATAGACCACATCGCTATCAGCCACCGATAGAGGGGCTCGATAGAAGACTGTCGATCATTATGGAGCACATGCCTAGATTTAGATCATGTTCTAGTGCGAGCACGTATCTGTCTGTGTCTTACTGGACGTAGGAAAGACACTGAAGGGAAACCTCTTATGGTTCTACTTAATGATAGGCAAGCTAAGAATATACTTCAGGAACAACTAGAAAAACAGTTAAGCAGCCATGTAAGTTGTGCCCACCCCAGTATTAGCAGCGAGATTGACTGAGGTCTTAGGTAGAATCTGGGAACTGGACGTAATTCCCAATCACTGATTTTGCCAGTCTATAAGAAAGGACACAAGTCCTCTTGTGACAATCACAGAGGAATCAGTTTGACTAATATAGTGTCTAAAACATTAGCTTCAATAATACTTCGATGCCTAACCAAAGCTCGTGAAGAGCAGGTTAGAGAAAACCAGGCTGGTTTTCGACTTGGACGTGGTTGTATAGACGAGATATTCACACTACGACAGGTCCTAGAACATAGACACACATTCAGACGCCCCACAATAGTAGTATTTCTTGACTCCGTGGATCGTGAGGTTCTGTGGCAGTGTTTGTCACTGAAAGGAATATCAAAGAAGTACATTAACCTTATAAAGGCTCTCTACTCGAACACAACTGGTCGAGTTAAAGCCTATGGCGAACTGTCATCAGAATTGACTACCTCAAGTGGTGTTCGTCAGGGCTGTCCACACTCTCCATTCTCGTCTAACTTCATCGTAGACGTGCTTTTAGAAATAACACTTTCATCATCTAAATTTAGAGGCGTTGAACTTTTACCAGGAGATTCCCTTGTTGAATTAGAATATGCCGATGGCATGGTTCTATTTAGTGAAGACGCTGACAAAATGCAAAGTCTCCTGACCGTTATAAGCAACAATGCAGGCATGTTCATGATGCGATTTCCCTCTTCGAAATGCACAATGTTACTTCAGGATGGAATTGTATCGACACCTGAACTAATGATATAGAGTGAAGTAGTTGAGCGTGTCGACCACTTCACTTATCTTGGGAGTCTCACCAGCCCTTGTGGTCTGGTGTGTGACGAAAAATCAGCACGGATACAGAAGGCTCGACAACTCGAGTCATTTATGGCGTAGGCGAGATATCCGTCTAGCAACCAAAGGACGGGTTTACTGTGCAGCAGTTCGTTCCGTTCTACTTTATGGCAGTGAAACATGGCCCATAAGAGTAGAGGATATTCGTACGCTACTAGTGTTCGATCATAGGTGTCTTCGGAGCATTGCTCGTATATCCTGGGACCACCGAGTAAGTAATGCAGTCGTTAGGAAACGGGTACTAGGTAGGGATGGCAAATCGATTGATGAAGTAGTGAAACTTCATCAGTTGAGATGGCTGGAACACGTATAACGTACGCCCAACTACCGACTGCCTCGACGTGCGATGCTTTATGGTGTAGGAGTAGGTTGGAAGGAAGCTAGAGGCAGTCAGCTCAAAACGTGGCACAAATCCATGAAGTCAGTGACAAGTGGACTGAGCCATGTTGGTAGGTGTAGACTACCTGGTTGGAATTCGCGAGATGATAGCAACCGATGGTTAGAGACCTTGAATGACATGGCTCAAAATCGTTTGCAATGGCGAAGGTGCATTCAATCTTTGTGTTCTGCCAAATTTTAATCTTCTGAATTCATGTCTTTATCTTTTTCGTCTTTTCAAATTTATTTCGCTGGATTATTGTCCTTGAATAACATCTTCAAACCCTAATTTTTCCGATTACTGCTTTTACTCTTACCACCTCTACCATCATGGGATTTGAATCGCCAAATTTATCTGTGCTAATGCGGTATGCCAACTCGAACTGATGTACGTACGTACGAAGTTCTACGTTGTGACTGACTGACGCTATTTCTATCATCCTTATTTATCACTGTAATAATGAAATATGATAACTTCCACTGATATATAGTCGTGTTACGTTTTGCTTAACGCATGACTCACTAACAACATCAAGAGAATGTTAACAATATCCAGATTCACTTTCTGTGTTTAACACTGCACAGTTATCTATTGACTTCATAGCGAGCAACACTTAAAATGAATTTCAAATTAAAATCAATTGATGGGTTCCTCCTCAGTCTCCTTAGTAACATCGTACTGCCGAAAAACTTATCACTCAAACATTACACTTCTATTCTACTACATGACAACATCAAAAACCGAAAAACACAACAACTTTGGGTATAAAAATCAATTTATGTTGATGAGAAGAGAAAAAATTAGTTCACTTGGAAAAACAGTTCACATCATAATACATATAATACAAATTCGTTTGTTTTGTCTAAAAGAGATAAAACTGGGAAAATTGACTTTCTACTGAACATCCACTTCGTCCTCATGTATTATTAGTAGTATTTTTACTACTAATATACTGGGTGAGCTTAGTTATCATCTAGCATAGTTCAATAACAATACAGTTAGTATAAAATGTAATTCACATCAAGCAGAAACACAGTTTACAGAGTCATACAAAACAATCTATTCTGCACACATTAAAAAAACAAACGACAATCGAATTCGTCAAAATACAATAGTGATAGACAATGAAGGAAAGAATAGTGCCGCGAAAAGGTGTGTACATGTATGAGTGAGTATGCATGTCGTCAATTAGAATTATTGTTGCTGTTAACAGATACTATACAGTTCTCAACTAAGCAATGAATTGGGAAACACACAGCTGTACACATACACAAACAATAAATGGTGGTGATGATGATGATGATTGCGATGTCATTGTAGTGTGGTCTCCCATTATGCTCATTAACAACTTACTCAATCGTTTTAGTTCTTCATTTTTCAGTTTTGTGTGAGTGAATGATCCACACAACAAAGATTCAGTGTCCATTCTGCTCACACTTTACACTAGTGTACAATAAGATAAAACTGCTATGAAGGGGAGAGGGGAAATATTTGAAACGATGCTGCACTTCGACTACTATGATGACAACAACTCGTCTCCACTTTTTCATTCTCTCCTTTTAATTCACAAACACACACACACAAGCGAACACATGGAAAGTGAAAATGTGAATAAAACAAAAGTTAATGCAAATGATTCCATCCACAGAAAATAAATGAGGAATAATTAGGGACAGTGGAGACTGTATCAATAATCGTTAACGTCCAAAATAAGAAAGACAACAGCAATCACCACTAATTTACAATTAACATAAACATTTCATCCACCGATTTACTGATATCAATCAATCAATCAATCGATTTATTGACAATAATAGTTTACAGAATAATAATTAATCAATTCTTCACATACAAAATGGAAACATTTCTATTAGATTATTTCCTTGTGTCTAACTACAACACCGTCGTCCACTCTTTGAACTGTCTGTGTTCGGTGAAACGATCGGTTGATTAGGATATGGAGACATTTTCATGTCCATATTACTCACTGGAGGATGTGAACGGACAGCCTCAAAAATAGCTGGACAGAATGTAAATGACAAAAAAAACAATAAGACTACAAATCAAATGTTTAACATTTTTACATACAATTTAATGAAACGTCTGTCAACATATCAGACTTTTAAAAGTAAACCCGCATACACATACACGTTTTACTGACGCACAATAATGGTTATTAGCTATTGAAAGACTATTGAATACATGATTGGTAGAATTTGAACAGTAGCACTAGAAGACTAGACAAACACAACACTGGTTACTGCTACTACTCACTGATCAATAAGTTGTAAAACACTGACTCCTGTTACAAGTCGGTCATGGTTCGAATAGCTCAGTGATGACCTCTATTCTCTCTGAGCTCTCTTTCATGCCACGACACCATGTCATACACTGACCTCCTCTCCGCTTTTTCAAACCAGTCCCAGAGTCGGCAAATAATGCACGACGTGGATTTCTCCGGGACGACATTCGTAAAACATGTCCAAGCCACTGAAGTCGGTGTTTCAAGATGGTGACACCAATTGAATTATCGTCTCTGCGCCCGAACACACGATGCCGAACCTCTGCATTACTAACATGGTGTTGCCACTGGATGTCAGCAATCCTTCGGTGACAACGATGATCGAACACAGAGAGACGTCTAACATCCTCAACTCGGAGAGGCCAGGTCTCACAAACATAGAGCAAAACTGCTCTCACCGACGCGTTGTAAATCCGACCTTTTACAGCCAGACTAACATCACGAAGGCGCCGAAGATGGCTCAGATTGGCATAAGCCGCTCTGGCTTTCATTATACGTGCATCAATCTCATCACTCACGCCACCACCAGCACTTATATAGCTACCTAGATACACGAACTTCTCAACTACTTCGATCTGCTCACCATCCAGGGTGAGTACAGGATGAGAATCCTGCCAGTCTTGTAGGAGTACCTTGCACTTGGAGGGTGCAAAGCACATGCCGTACCTGCGGACACTGATTGCCAACTGATTAAGTGCGGATTGCATGCCTTGGGCATTATCGCACAGTAAGACAATATCATCCGCATACTCAAGGTCGAGAAGTCGTTCTCCAGGCAACATATCCACACCGCCATTACTTACATCCATCAGAGCTGTTTCCAGGATGTCGTCGATGGCAAAGTTGAAGAGGAATAGTGAGATCGGGCAACCCTGCCTAACCCCACTGCTTGAATGGAACAAGGGAGAAAGGTGGTTGTATGCCCTCACTCTGCCTGAGGTGTTCGTATACAGGGCATTTAAGATGTTAATGAACTTCTCAGGCACACCCTTCTTCAATAGACAATCCCAGAGAACAGTCCTGTCCAAAGAATCGAAGGCAGCCCTGATATCAAGAAACACTACGATTGTTGGCCTGCGATAAGTATGACGGTGTTCTAACATTTGGCGGAGGGTGAAGATGTGATCAATGCATCCTCGACCAGAATGAGAACCAGCCTGCTCCTCGCGAGTCAATCGTTCTCGGGTTTTAAACAACCTACGAAGAATGACAGAAGCCAATAGTTTGGACGCAATCGGAAGAAGACTTATCCCCCGATAGTTATCACAGGAACAACGTGAACCCTTTTTAAAGATAGGGACGACTATTGACTCATTCCATGATGTTGGAACACTTTCTAGCTCCCAAACCTTTGCAAACAACGCAGTCAGTTCCTTAGCCAGAAAGTCTCCACCATCTTTAAAAAGAGCCGGAGGTAAGTCATCTGGGCCCGGTGATTTATAACGTTTCAAGAGTTGGAGTTCCTTGCGGACTTCCGCCTCGTTAGGTAGATCAGTCGTCACCGGCCATGGGGGGCAGGACAAGCTGGTTGATGTTGCCGGAGCAGCAGGCCAGTTGAACTGCCCTTCGAAGAATTCCGCCCATCGTCCAAGACGTCGAGAGATGTTAGTGATTGGCATCCCGTCATCCTCGCAGATTGTTTCACTCGCACCAGACTTCTTGCTGCCAGTGGCTCGGATGAGTTGGAAGAGCTTCCGGCAGTTACCAGATGCAGCTGCTGCTTCCATCTCATTAGCACGCTCCGACCACCAGGCTTCTCGGTCCTTACGCAAGCTTTGCCCAATTTCATTACGTAACAGTCTTCGTTTGTGGTCATACTCACGGTCACCCGGAGTAGACCGACGGGCTTCCATCAGTTGTAAGGAGCCAGAAGAGACCCAGTGCTTGTAAGCGGGACGTTTCGCGAAGCTACAAGCGGCTTTACTCGCCATTTTCATGGCGTCGTGAAGATGCAACCAATGCTCATCTATACTTTTCGGTGGGATGGTAGCTAGCCTAGAAGCTAGCTCCGCTCGATACTTACTTGCAACAGATGTTGCAGCCAGTTTACTAACATCGATCCGTTGGTGGTGGTCAATCCTTCGGCCATTGAAAAGTAAGGTGAGATTGGCGCAGACCAGGGCATGATCAGACTCCAGATAGGTACTCCAAAAGGGGCGGCAGTCTTGTACACAACCACGCCAGCGGTAGCTGATCGCGATGTGATCAACGATCGATTCATACGCAATTTGTTCCCTCAGGGTACTGGAGCTCATGTGCACCATTTGTTTAGAATCAAGGTTTTCTAACTCCCCTAGGTGAAGTTTCCGTGTCCACCAATCCGGTTAAAGTGCCGGACGTTTGCTTTTCGTCCTCCCGATTCGTAAACAACAGTAATGCTGTGAGAAGACAATGAGTAGGACTTCTCTGGAAGAGGCTATATAAGCGTGGCCATGTGAGAGCATTTCGAGTGAGAGTGGATTCCCCCCACTCTCGGCCGTACCCGGGCATTTGGGGGCCTCCATATTTATAGGAACCCTCCACTTCGGGAGACAGTGAAAACAACTCATTCGTGTCAACAAATGCTAGCATTTCTATACTAATCACTGTACAGAAATTGAGCTACACTAATGCATCTAGGTAGTACTTTATCGATAAATATATGCATGAAAAAGTATTTATATGCAACTCTGTCTAAACAAACACACGTTGTAGGTAGCTGACAGTTTCACGAACACTATGAAATATTAAGCAAATTAGTGTTCACCAACATCAACCGAATTTTCAGGTACTCAACTTAAAACATTTCCATTCCTCACATACATACTTCGAAATAGATTGTATGTCACAATTCTATGTGGTGGATTTCCATTTACTAATTTTCCACCAGTCAATATTTACTTCACCACACTTTCTGTACGGTGCATATCTCAGTCATGGAACTGAAGACAAAGATTTAACATTTCGGTGACTGAATATGTCCGTAAACCGTAAACATAAAGTTGTTACATCATTATATTGATAAAGTAAGGACGTATACAAGAGGTGTCATGGACAGTGATATTGACGTTTACCCTGATGCAGTATAGTGTCACTTTCAATCTTTTATCAGGTCACAAAAATCAATGACAATCAAGCAAGTTAGCCTTACATTTTCAACTTAATCACCCGGTGCGTGGGCGTGAGACACAACCTAAGAGTGGAGATTAATGACAACACACGGTTGCTTAAACCAAAGTAAGTAGAGTGAGGTTTAAAGCTGAGACTCAGTGGCTGAAAGTCGAACACCTTGACCATTAAGCCACAGCTCCATAACTGAATATTCACCTTCTACTCTCACTGTTACAGAATCAGCAAACATGCTTGTACAACATAACATAGTTTTCCAACATTAAATTCACTGAGAAACAAAGACAGATCATTTTGCAGCCAGATTCATACTCTTCTTTTATGAGGTAACAAAGACGAAGCACTATCATTCTAGCAAAATACTTATCCTTCAAAGTAGTTTGCTGACACGAACCAATAAACTTTGTTAAATATTAAAGCCTTAAAGATTCACAGTTGAATGGTGAGCCAATGTAATCTATGGAAATGATAAACCAAAATGCACTGAATTTATTTATTATTTATTTAAACACATATATTGGTGCAAAAGGGCACCAGGTACATATGCGCCACACTTTGTGTGTGGGCTGTGATACTGCCCGGGTGCCCAAACCGAAGCAGGTGGTTTTCTTAGGGGGCCACACCCCAAGCCTTTGACCAAAAGGTCTGATCCACAAGGCAGTGGAGCATCGTGAGGAGATGCAGTCCCATGGTAGCCGTTGACCAATGACAGGTTCGTCCGCCGTTCGTTCCATCAGGATACTGGAGCCCATGTGCACCATTTGTTTAGAATCAAGGTTTTCTAACTCCCCTAGGTGAAGTTTCCGTGTCCACCAATCCGGTTAAAGCGCCGGACATTCGCTTTTCGTCCTCTCACTTTCGTAAACAACACCCCGCCACGAGAAGGCAGTGAGTAGGACTTCGCTGGCCATATGAGAGCATTTAGAGAGGGAGAGTAGACTCTCCCCACTCTCGGCCGTACCAGGGCATTTGGGGGCAAAAATGCACTGAAACAACAAAACGTACTACACTGAGTTAAGTTTAATTTCTCAGTCAAAACTTATATTATCATATGAGTAAAATCTAAAACTAACTTTTAAGAATCGAATAAAAGGCATTTTCAACGCCGGTAGATTCCAAAGCTGAGGTTTCCATAAAGAAAAGTCCATGCCTCTCAGCCCAAAGCTTTGCATCTTCCGTCAATATAGTCCGAAGATGTCTAAGGTCACACTTATTACCAACCAACATAATGACGATATCTGGTTCTGCATGGCCTCGTAACTCAAGTAACCAGTGTTCAAGATTGTTGAAAGTCTCTCTTTTCGTGATATCATAGACCAACAGGGCACCAACAGCACCACGGTAATAGCTTCAAGAGAAAATATTAAAATATGTTATACCTTACGTCAGAGGTTACTTGGTCAAATTATTACTACTTAAAAGTTAAACAACGAGAGTGAGCTGAAACAAAGTCAACAGTCTCGAACACAATATGCAAAAGGACCTCTTAAATACTAGAATACTAAAATAACTTGATCAATGGTATTCATGAATGGACTTAGCCAGGTGGAGTGATGTGAATGGAATGCTAGAAAGAAATGAAGACCAGGACATTCATCCTAATGCTCACAACTCGTTTCTACCGCTGTCAAGTTTCGTAATGTTAACTAAACATTAGTAAAAAAATCATACTGTCACTCACTGACCACTAGGTCTAAACACACTTATGGGGTATGAAACTAAGGAACAATGCGGTTACTGGGCGAAATTGACAGCAATTAGACAATTCAATAAAAACCAATTCCACACTCTATCGGAACAAACATCATGAAACAGATGTTTACATGCCAGAATGTCTATATAACCATCTAGCAGCAATTACTGTACGAACGGTTCCTGGTGACTGAATTATTGGTTAAAATATTCAGCTTCTATCCACTAAATCGCTTGTCTCAATGTTGTACCACCCACTGTAGTTAGTTCTATTCAGTAGTATCACCGGTTCTCACAAAAACCACCACTGGAAGTTTACAAACCTGAGTTTGGTTACTACGCCAAACTTAATCACTTCAAGTTATTTACTTATGACAGACATTTTGAAACTTTATATCACTGTTTTCATTCAAACTAGCAAATTCGATAGAGCTTCATCTTTAGTTCAAAACCGACATCAAGTGGATAAACACTTAAATAATACTACATCTACCATTTTACAGATTTCCAAACTACTAAGGCAAGTCCACAACTCACACGAATATCATCTTAAGTCTATACAAGGAAGGATATTTGTCCAAACATCTGTCCATTTACAGGTATAAGTCAACCTAGTTTGTGGACTCAAAAATAAACTCACTGAAGATTTAGGGTGACGAAGACATTAAGTTAAACAGCTAACAATTGCTGATACGAAATATGAGTCTCAAGATACGAAACTGGTTGTAACTCAGCAAAACTACAAGGTCCGAAAACTTAAACAACTCTTAACATGTGGTTAATTATCAAAAACTGAGATAAAACCACACATATAAGACTGGTTCAATGTTATGGAACGCCGACTTACATTTACTGAAACTAGGTCTAAAGTAGACTGTTAATCAGCAATACCACAAACTAACACGAGTGATTCAACACAATTGCTTCTCTATGTTAGCAGCGACCTCTTAGCTACTACAATACGTAAATTAACTTGATTTCAGGATTCCACCCTCAACCAATATCCATCTTCAATAACATCATAACGTCTTGCCTTTAGAACATGAACATTTGACATCAGGGTTCTACACATTAAAATACATGGAATGATTATCAACTTGCTTGTCCACGATGATTGTGCTTTATTCTGATGATGATCTATCCACTGTTTAGGCTAATTAAAAGAAATAAGTACAACGACCCAAACTTTCGACTTTCTTTACACTTTAAGACTACCAAAAAACGTATAATTTCGAGATACTTTGACAAAATACTACATTAAGCAATCGGTGCACAGCTGCGTTTTAGGTGGACGCTATTATTTTTACAACATATATTTGTGCAATCATTAGGATGAGCAAACACAATTAAAAAAGTAATTCAAAAACTAAATGCCAATATTTGCCAGTTTTTTAGATATGGCACTGAACTATTTACATAAAAAATTGTAAACTCACGCAGCTGTTATAGCTCGATAACGTTCCTGACCAGCAGTATCCCAGATCTGGGCCTTTATAGTCCTTCCATCAATTTCTACACTCCTAGATGCCATTATTAATATTTACTGAGGACCCACTTTGTAGCGAACTCAACGCCGATTGTACTTTTACTCTCCAAATTAAACTCGTTTCTTGTGAAACGTGAGAGTAAGTTACTTTTCCCGACACCCGAATCTCCGATCAGTACAACTTTTCAATTGAGATAAATTGCTACCACTTTTATTACCTTTAAACAGATAATCGTACTCATCATCTTTACCAGACATAGAACCTCCATACATCGTCAACTCTCTCGAAAACCTGACTGTGTAAACTGTACCAGTAAATTAAAGTAGTGAAGTATTAAAAGACCGTGTCCAATGTTTCATTGTACTGCTTGTCTAAAATCCAATATATTAGTGATAAGTTTCCACATACCAATGGATTTCTTTTCGCTCACTCCTTGTGGTTTTGTTAAGGCTTCAACTCTTTGATAATGTACTATGGGCGGTAGTCTAGTCACTCGACTGTAACAGTATTAATTGTTCGGAAGATATTCATGGGTTTATATATTTGTTAATCCAAGTGAGTGTATCCAATTCAGGGCTGTATGGCTTCTGAAACCATCAGCCGTCACAGCGCCAAGGAGGAGTCGGTCTGGTTGCATTGTGAAAAGAAATTGTAGCTGTAAATAATTCCCCAAAATCAATAGCTCATTAAGTGTTCGACATTGGATGCTGACCACATTGTTTAAGGTGGACTTGTTTAACTGAAAGCTTTCGGTCATGCATCCGTACCAGATCACGTTTCAACTCGGCGTGAGACATTGCTCCTACGTTCATTAGCCAGCTTAGAATAAAGGCTTCTCGATATATTGATAACGTATCAAATATATCTTTCCTACCTCTTCTCGTCTGACTTCTGGTTTCTATTTGACCAAAAGGGTTTCGATTATAGAAGGTGCTATTAGCCTCTAATTATCAAATTAGAATACTAGTCGTATTCACAGTGGTGAGCCCGACGTGATCTGGTACACCAAGCGCACAAACTGTGAGTCTGTTCCATTTTGGAATATTATTATTCATTGTTATTCTTTATTTGAATTTTATATATTGTGAGATACTTTTTTCGCGAGTTTTTCCCGGATATATTTTAATTAGACATTTTTCGTTCCTTATATTACTACGACGGAACACTCACCTAAGCTTTTTAAGTTGAAATCTGTTCCCTCAACTTCGATTCAGTTAACGCCATTTTGGCCTGACAATATCGAGTCCTGGTTCCGCTACGCAGAAGCTGTTTTTTTCATGCACAGAATCACGGACTCGCGCACACGATTCCTCGCGGTAATTAAGTCATTACCGCGAGAATTTAACAGGTACGTAACACCTAGTATGTTTACAATGGGTTAACAACTCGTGGCAACCTTTAGGATTTTTCTCGAGACGGTTTCTGGACACTGAATCGAGGTACAGCGCGTTCGGTAGGGAACTCCTAGCTGTGTATCGTGCTGTACTGCATTTCCAACATTCCATCGAAGGAAGAGAATTTACCGATCGCAAACCTCTTACCTTCTCTTTAAGTTCACCTTCAGACAAGTACCCACCGCGAGGGTCTCGACAACTCGACTACATTTCGCAGTTTACTTCAGACATACATTACATTTCTGGAGCGAACAATGTAGTCGCAGACGCCTTGTCTCGAATAAGTTCCTTGAACAGTTTCCAAGAAATCGACCTTCTTAAACTATCTCAGCTTCAAAAAGAAGACATTGATCTTCAGCATGAGTTATCCTCGACAACTCTTAAACTAAGTATTAAGCAGATGGGAACAGGTAAGGAAACCTTACTTTGCGACACATCTACAGGTAGGGATCGTCCAATAGTACCAAAACATTATCGACGCAACGTCTTCAATACGTTGCACAATCTTTCTTACCCACGTGCTCGTGCAACAGTCAAACTTATAGCCGAACGCTTTTGTTAGCCTGGCATGAATAAAGACGTGAGGGAGTGGGCACGCTCCTGTGTAAGCTGTCAAAAATCTAAGGTCACAAGACGCAACAAATGTCCCTTAGGCACTTTCAAAACCCCTGACGCTCGTTTCGACCACATCTACCTAGATTTGGTAGGACCGTTACCCGATTCAAACGGATACTCATATCTCTTAACATGCGTAGACCGTTTCACTCGATGGCCAGAAGCAGTACCGATTAAGGACATTACTGCTGAAACAGTGGCTCGCGCTTTCGTCAAAGGATGGGTTGCGAATTTCGGCTGCCCTTCCAAGATCGCTACAGACCGCGGACGCCAGTTCGAATCTGGACTTTTCCGTTGTCTGACCTCACTATTAGGAATTACTCGCTTCCGAACGACCGCCTACTACCCACAAGCGAACGGGTTGGTAGAACGTTTTCATCGACAATTAAAAGCTTCATTATCAGCTTCAAACATTTCACAGTGGACAGAAGCTCTTCTACTCGTCTTGCTAGGTATCCTCAATGCAGTGAAAGCTGACATTGGATAAACTGCATCTCAACTCGTTTATGGAACGACACCCCGACTTCCAGAAGAATTTGTGGATCCTTCGACTTCTTCATTGAACATAGATCTAAACTCTTACACGAGTAGGCTTACAAACGTTATGCGTTCAGTTAAACCTGCTCACACTCGACCTCAATCAACTGATGTTTTCGTTCAACCTGAATTGCGACATAGTACACACGTCTTTGTTCGTCGAGACTCACATCGAAGACTTCTCGAATCATTGCACGAAAGACCCTTCAAAGTTCTTCAACGCGAACCTAAGTACTGTGTGGTCGATAAGAACGGTACGAACGATAGCATTAGTATAGGGTGAGACTAAAGAACATGGAGGACCTTTGAACGAATCTTAAATGACCTTGAGAAATATAAGCCAATCAGAGGACAGTTAGTGTACAGTGAAAATTTATTATACAAAGCCAAAGAATTAAAGTGGATACTGTTCTTTTACATGAGTTAAAAACTTATCAAGGTTGGATATAGGTTCAGTAGTTCTAAAATCATATTGCATGCGGTACATGAATTCATCCATATGGCTACATAGTAGTCTGCATCTGGAGCCATGATTGGGTCTCGAAAACTCTTTTAGTCTTGACCACATAGCTTCTATGTTGTTAGTGTGCACCCCAGCAGTAGGGTCAACGAAATGGCGCTTATGTATAACGACTTCATGCACATATTCCAGTCTACCTAGACACCTGAACGCTCTCCAATCATTTGTATAAACAGTAGTGCCCGGCAGCACATATTGCCGTATAATCGGTATGACTGTTGGTGCCTGCCGGTTCCTGACTCTTTGGAAATGTCCTTTTTGTAATGATCTATCATCTATTCCAAGGACTTGTGATGTATATTTATGTAAGAGGTACTTACCCAATCTTCTTTAATACAACGGTTGAATTTCCCTTCCTTACAACCGTTTGTCTATTTCAACAGTACTCCTCACTCCTCCATACAATTGCTGTACGCTTGTCAGTTTTGTTGCACAAATATCTCGGCAAAACTCGTACCATTGAACTGCCGAAACTTCGCTTACATCGGCAAAGTTGGCAGCTAGTGTTACCGGTGTTTTTATTATCCAATTCGCCACAAGAAGCGTAATTTGTCTCAACCTTAATTTTTACCGAGCGAAAAAGTCCCTGTTTCGGGCCGATTTCTTCTTCCAACATGAAGGACATCGAAAGATAATATCATCACGATAGTCTGCACACTGTACAATGGTCAATTGACTACCACAGTCACAAGTATAGGAGCTTCTTAATAATCCCTTTTCTTGTAGTCGCTCAATTATCACGTCTTCTCGAAAATCCGCTGTAAAGCGATCGTACGTAAACATCATGTTCCGAAATTACCGCCGTGACCTTGAAAACCCGCGGAAGCTTACGATTGGCTCGTCCATGTTCTTTAATCTCGCCTTAGTATAGATCGACTCAAAGCAGCGTCTTTAAAAGGAAACCCTAGCTACGTCGATTTTCCTTCGGTACAAGCAAACGACAAAGCTACTACACCTGTAGTAACCTACACGACAACCGACACACAACTTGATACTTCGTCAATGTCGAGAGATAAACCCAAAACAACGCGTACTGAGAGAAGAGTAAGATTTCAAGAACAGCTTAACTACTATTGTACGTAGGACACAAGCTTTATCTCGAATTCCCTTTTCATTGTTTATTATAAAAAATATTTTTTGACATTCTCATTTTTTTATTTCATTAAAAAAACATTTTTATTATTTTTTGAGCGTATTTCTATTTCAAAGTTGAAATCATGAGTCAATTGAAGTTAGACCACCATCGAAAACCTGGAATCACTGGATGGCCGTTTCGTCCTATTATGGGACTCCTCAGCAGTGCGCATCCACGAACCTGCTCTCGCGAGCGAGATTCGAACCCAGGAACTAACAGTTACTAGCTAGAGCCCTTAACCGATAGACCACTGAGCTGGCATCCAACGGTGTTAATGTCTAACTTCAACTGACCCACGAATTATGAGCGACACTTCAGTTGAAGTTAGACATTAACACCGTTGGATGCCAGCTCAGTGGTCTATCGGTTAAGGGCTCTAGCTAGTAACTGTTAGTTCCTGGGTTCGAATCTCGCTCGCGAGAGCAGGTTCGTGGATGCGCACTGCTGAGGAGTCCCATAATAGGACGAAACGGCCGTCCAGTGATTCCAGGTTTTCGATGGTAGTCTAACTTCAATTGACTCATGATTTCAACTTTAAAATATACTGAAATCTCCACAAATCCCCTTCTGAGTAATTATATTTCTTTTATATAAAAAAAACCAAAAAAACATTTTTCCCAATCGCTTTTACGCTGTTTGCAAGTGCATTAGATTATATATATTTTTTCTCCCGCTCATCTTGTGTCCTTACGCAAGTACGAGTGCATTTTCGATATGCACTCACTTGTTTTATTTTTTCTCTTCTCTAGGATGGCTGGAAAAGAACGACGAAGTTTCGCAAGGAACCATAACTTTCATTGTACTTTACATCTTTATTGCTTTGTTGTAAATTTTGGTTCCCCAGTATAAGAAAAAACGACCAGACGCTGCTAGAGGAAGAAAGCTATCAGAAGAGTGTTTACCAACGACAAACTCTTTAGGTTTAGATTTCTGGCTGATCACGTTTTAGGGGCATCATAACCTCACTAAGAGGTGGAGTGATCTGTAGCTGCAAATAATTCCCCAAAATCAATAGCTCATTAAGTGTTCGACATTGGATGCTGACCACAATGTTTAAGGTGGACTTGTTTA